TCTGGGTCATATTTCAGATATTGCAGGTAGGCAAAGAAGACTCATTTATTAATGAAAAGGCTTCTAAATCCAAAAGGGATGATAAATCTTCAAACAGACTCTAGAGAGTTTGTGTCAAAGATGTGTTTATCCAGACTTTTTAGGCCAACTGCACAGCGTGCAAAAATTTGTCTAGTCAGTGTTATATTGCAGAGGAACAACGTTTGCTTGATCAATTTAAGATCTAACTGAAGTAAGCAGTCTTAACCCTAAAATCCTGTATTAACATTTATAGTATTTTTAACAGTTGGAAGAAATTTGTATATATTGATAATGTAATGGGAATAAAGCTCAATTTGTCATTTTACTGGAATCAAGAGTTTGATCAAGTTACGATTTTGTATTTTCATGTATGTTCTTGATGCGTAACGTCTTTATCTAAATCTTATATTTGCAAATATGGTTTATATTTTTACTGATAGTGTGAAAAGTTCGGTGAACAGAGCGTTGGGGCTTGGCCATGCATTTGTAAAACCTGTTCTATCCTTTTGTAGGCGCATCAGCCAAGACTGCACAAAAATATCCCTTCTGTGAATTCCAAACTGAAGGTTGTTAAACATCTGATAAGGTTTGTTAACTCTTTGTTTAATTTGGAACACTTAATTTGAAACACTCTTCTGGTCATAGGACTTCACTGAGCAAACTCTTTTACTTGTAGAATACAGCCGCTGAAACTACCTTATGGGTTGCCAACAGAAGAGGAAATGTCGGACACCTTTCTAACGAGCAAGGGAGAGCTTGTCATTAAACGTCATCTGAAACCTGTGGAGCAGAAAGAAATTAAGCCATAAGGTGTGCTCATTGGATTTGTGTTTTATAAAATAAATAATTTAACTCCTGAGTTAAGAGTTTTGTATGAAATGTAAGCTTAGTTGTTACCTTGTCAGGTATGAGTGGTGGAGGTGACGCTGGTGCTTAAAGAAAGATTACACATGTACAGATATAAAATTCAATGTTGGTAATGTTTGCCTGAAATATTAAACGAATGATAGGTTTTCTGTCCCTTGTGTTTTAATTTTGTGGCTAGATTACTGCAGTTTATGGCTAGCTGTTAGAAAGCTTTATTTATAAAGTCAGATAAGCAGAGAAGTAAGTAGAATAGATCTAACTAATGATGGACATTTCCTAGCTAACAGTAAAGGTTTACAATGGTGGTGCATGACTTCACCTTTACTCTGTGAAGGAAGGAACTGGAATTGAAAAACTTGCTGTTTATCAGTTAGAGGAGAATTGACTGGCTATCCACTGAGAGTGTCATTTGATTGAGGCAGGCATTTGGGTGACGTACCTTGGTCATCCAGATCTCTCACTTGCTCCTTAGCAAACAGTCTGCCTCCTCTGTAGCTTATAAAGTACCTGAGCTCCCCGTTTGGGAGTAACAGAAGGAGCGATTCACATCTTGGTATGTTGTATAATTTGTCTTTCAGGAAACATGCCATCTGACTTCATACATATTTCTTGATCCAAAACATTTAATAGTAATAGCCTAAAAGCTGCAGTCTGTGTAAAAGTTGATGCTTTTCGTGCTCTAAAATTGCAGACTTCAGAGATCTGGAGACCCTAAAGCATACCTCTTTGATGCAAGTTAGTAATTATGCGCTGCAAGTTTATAAAATAACACCGTTCACTGAGGGATTTGAATGGTACTGTATGCATATTTTTATTTACATTTGTGGCCAAAGTTAGGAAGCCACTGCTGTATCAAATTATAAAGTAGTTTTCATTCCCGTGAGCTTAAATTCCATAGTTTACCACACTGTGAGCCTCTCCCACACCACTTGTGCTGTAGAGGAGTTAATCTTAATGACTGTATGTTGTGAGAAGATCAGAGGGATACAGTCACTGAAAATGAATGTTTATCCTTTCTGCATGCTTGCAGAGAAGAGTAAACACCAGTAGGAGTTGAAAGGAATAGACATATCAGTAGAGGGGTGTAAAAGCTGGAGACACTGTGTGCAAGAGAAAGAAAAAGGATAGGCTGTCGTAATGGTGTTGAAGACTGTAGTGGCTCCTGCAAACAGGCCAAAGGCAGAAATGCAAAATTGAGCTGAAAAACCTCTGTTTCTCCACAAGATACAGGCTGTAGTTGGAAGGATACAAAAAATATTCGTGGCAGTCTGAAGTGTATAGAATAGCAAGGAAAAAGTGAAGCAAATAAATTAATGTTGCTTTTTTCCCCTCCCTCCTTCCTTCCAGTACCTGCATAGCATCCTGTGCTACAGTGTGTTATAACTCCAGTCTGTGTGGTGTTGACGGTGTTCCCACAAGGAGGTACTTAGTAAAGCTGAAATTTCAGCCCTTTTGAAGGACATGTGTAGTGCATCCAAGATACAGGACATGCCTAAAACAGATAGCACAAGTACTGAGGCCCAGAAAATTAGGCAAATGGGTCATGTTCGCTGAGGGATAGCAAATGCATGTCTTGTACCAGGCTTGGTGGCCCAGAGCACCAAAGCCGGGATCACTCAGCCTTACCAGGCACGTTCAGGATTTGTGTCCACGGCACTGCGGCCTGGTGAATCTCCAACAGAGGGAGTGCCGCAGTATGCGCATGAATATGGATCTTCTATTCATTACACTGTAGAGATGCTACAACCTTCAGAAGTACTGCAATGTAAACTGGAAGGAATATGTTAATGAACAAGCTTGCTTGGTGCTGTGCACAACTTAAAAAGTGTATGATTAACTAACTACCTAAGTTAGAGCAGAGCTAGTAACTGCTTCCAAAGTACAGAGGAGGGAGAATGCTTTAGATAGTACCTGTTATTTCTGGGTAAGATTTAGCTACAAGAGATGTTTACGGCTGTCTTTAATTGACAAGCTGGCAGTTTTAATGGAAAATGAAGTTGTATTTTCTTAAAATTTTTAATATATATGTAAGTTTGGGTGTTTCTGAAAATGTTTTTCTACCAAGGTCACAACTGCCATACAGTCAATCTGCTATCCCAGACCTTCTCTGTGTAAGCGTATGTTCTCTAAAGATTTGCTTTCAGGTCTAAAACCTGAACCAACAGAGTGCACAAACACAGTGTGCGTCCACAACCCTTCATTAATGGAGTATTGTAAATGCACAGGTAAGAGATGCTGCCGTTTTGTGCAGGGAACAAACAGGCTGACTTAAGATGACACCAAAACTCAGGTTGGAAGGTACCTCGCAGGTCTCTAGTCCAGCCTCCTGCTCAACGCAGGGCCAGTGCTGAGGTCAGACCAGATTGCTCAGGACTTTGTCCAGCCGGGTCTAGAAAACCTCTGAGGACGGGGACAGCTCTTCTGCCTGGCTGTCCTTGTGGGGAAAGGTTCTATGCAGAATGCAGTCTGTGCCTCTCTCCTTTCGGCTTATGCCTGTTATCACTTCTCTTCCCACCTTGCAGTACCAGGAGGAGCCAGCCTGGCTCCATCTCCTCAATTATCCCTCCCAGGCAGGTACTGTGGGGCTGCTGTTAGGTCCACCTGAACCTGTCCCTTCTCACAGGGCAAGTGCTCCAGCCCCAACCACCTTGGTGGCTTTCTGCTGAGTTCTCTCTACTTAATTGGTCTTTCCTGTGTCAGGGGCCCCCAAACTGGACATTATTCTACATGTGGTCTAACAAGTGCTTAGTAGAGGCGTGTAATCCTTTCCCTTGGTCAAGCTGTGCTGCTGTTCATGCAGCCCAGGTACCCTTAGCTGCCTTTGCTGTTTGGGCACACAGCTGGCTCATGTTGAGCTTGCTTCTTGGGTAGGAACCATTTGCTATGTCTACCTGCTGTAGCCTTCAAAGTATATTCAAACAAATCCTTGGTGCAATATGTGGTAGCAATGTGGAAATGTACTGTTTTAAGACAAAAATTCTATTTCTGTGCTATTGCTGTGTTACAGGTTCACTTAACTGTTTCAGATTTGGTAATTAATACTGTAGTGTGAGTAGATCAATACAATTCTAATAATAGCATCAGAATGTTTTTAATCACAGGTACAAAATACTAGCTATAAAAAATGCACCATATTTAAAACAAACAATCAAACAACAGCCATCGTTTCCCACCCCCCGCCCCGCCCCCTTTGTTATTTCTGCTTTAGCCCCTAGTGATGTGCTTGAGGGGTTCTTTTTAACCACTAAACTGCTTTCTTTTCTCCCCTGTGTCTTGAAATGGCTGAATGAACCCAACAGCTCTGAAGCTAAGGCTCCCCAAAAGCTTTACTATATGATTGATTAAAATAATCTGGTTTTTGTGCATGAACCTGCATCAGATTTTATAAACTAAATTTTAAAAACATGATGCAATGTGCATATTCTTACTCCAGACCTTGCATTGAAGCTAATATATAGCTTCAGTAGAAGTATTGATTACAGCAGCTTGAGTTTTACAGATTGTTTGCAACTGTAAAGGCTAAAATGAAGTAGTATCAAGGGCAAAAAAAAATTAAGAATAGCTTAGTATTTTCCCTCCTGTCACAACAGCCACTTTGGTCACATCACCAAAGTAAGAGCAATTATTCTGGAAGTATATGATGTACTCTGATATACTCTTCTGGTAGATTAAACATATACAATATCTATTGCAAATACTCAATTCCAAAATTGCAAATTCTTAACAAACAATTTGTACTGCTGTTAGACACATGTATTGGCAGGTAAAATCTAAGGCAGATAAAATCTTGTTACGCAGTGTTACAACTTCCTTGCAGCATTAATCTGCTGCTTGAGAAACTGCAAGCACAGATGAAAACTCTGTTTGAATATTCTCATGACGTGAGATAAAACATAAATGGCAAAAGATAGGTTACAGTTTGGATTATTAGCAGTGTTACAGTTTATAGTTATTTTTTTAGCCTTAGCTGAGAAAAAAATAATCATTGAAAGCTTGTACTTGTTGCTGGCTTCGTTTCCCTCCCCCATTCTTACTGTTTCTGGGGGAGAAATCCAGGATGTATTTATTTAGAAGCAAAGTATGCAATCAGTGATCATTACTCAGATATCTCACTATCCATTTCCCTTATAAAACTTGGCTCTTGCAACTACATCATTGGCATAGTCATTGTGTGTTCTGCCAATATCCTTTGTGTCGTAGCTCTGGACATCGTTAGCTCCTGCATTGTAGGCTGTGATTCCACCTGAAATGAGAGTGAAAGAAACACATAAACATAAATCTTCTGGACTTCCTTTATCAACCCACATAAAACCTCTGTGCCTTGTGCTGAGTGCTCTTCGCTGTCCCATGATCTGGCAATCTTATGGTACTGTTTGTCAGCCTGAAAGTGAGACAGCAATATCAGCACACCAGAAACCCCACTATTCATCTAAAGCTCTTCATTGCTTACAGGCTGCTTGTATTCATTTTGATCTTTAATCTCATGATTTTCCTCTTTTGTAATTGTACAGAGAGGAAGGTGCAGGCAAAGGCAACAGATGCGTGAATAGCAGACTATGGGGGCACTGAAGAGGAATGCCTGCCCCACCTCCTTGTCTGTCAGAGCCTTAATACCCAGCACAGCTGCTGCTGTAAAGGTGACAGGGTGCAGAAAGCAGACTTACTGCTGCTTAAGCTTTTCCAGCTGCAAGGTGACTGCTCCTCTCCTCCCCAGCTGCATCAAGGGTGGGAAAACCCCTGGTTCATCTAGGGATATCCCCTGGATCTCTGCCCCAGTTCTCTCCTCCTTCTCCTCCTCATCCTTCTCCTCCACCTCTTATCCGTGGGGTAGCAAAGCACAAGTCTGATGGGGCTGGATCTTTTACAAAAGCAGATCCCAATGCGTGCAACAAACGTTTAGGGATTGTATGGATAAGCATACAACTTGGCAAACAAGTGAGGCATGAATGTAGGCATGAATAATGAAGCAAGATTCCCCACTAGCTAGGCCCCTATGGTGCACAAAGGGTAATTAACCTGACTGTGTGTAGCTGAAGCCTACAGGCATCTGTGCTTAGTTTAAAAAGAGTGCTTTTTCAAACAAGATTTAGTATCTAAAGTATGAAATCGCAACAATTAATCTCTTAATTCCCAAGAGAGCACTGGGAAGCAAGCAGCAGTTTCATGGTACAAAAGCAGTCTGCTCATGCCCTGACACTCACTGGAGTCCTTCCCCAGTGCCGGGAGCTGACAGCCACATCAGCGTTGGCTTTATTCTGCCAAAAGAGTTGCCTGAAAAGGTTTAGGGGGTTGCCTTTCAACGGGGCCCCTGCTGCTTCTCTGACTTTCTGCTTCAAAAGAAGGATGAGGTTTGTGTTTTTAAGAAGGCTGGCCATACCTACATTAAACCAAATGCATTTCTGTGGTCACCCCAACCATCCTTCAGAACTGTCCCAGCGTGCGACTCTCAAAAGACAATACCAGCAGTCACAGCTGGATTAACACACTTTCTGTTGCCAGCTTTTGTAATCTTGGCTTGGTATTTCTCCATGTTCTTCAAGTCTTTTTCTGCCATCTTCTCTGAGGCAGGAACTCCTACACACAATGTGCAGGACTTTTCCTTTCGTTTTTTAAATCAGAAACAAGTTGTTCTAGCAGTCATTATGACTGAGCTGACATTTTGAATCCTTGTGAATCTATTTAGAGAGAAGCAATGATACAATTGACCAATTTTGCTGAAGGATAAGTGCCCTAGAATTCAATACATGTATGATATAAAAGACATTTTTTCAAATACAGAGGGCAATTCTCTAGTGTGCAAACTAAAAGGCAGGTCTTCTTGTTTTAAAACTAAGCCTTTGGGTGGATTAGTCCCAGGTTTAGTTCCTTTTAATTTAGGACTATAATGGGGAAACTTAGGTCACGAGGGAAACCCTCTTAAGGGAGAGAGAAAAGCAGGGCTGATGGCAGGGTTTGGATGAACCCACCAGACCTTGCATCTTCTCTGTGATGATCTTGAATATCACCTCAAAGGCAACTCTACTCCCAACATTAACTTATGTGCCCAAGATCTTTGTTGGTGTGGAAAATCTGCTCACATGGCAATGACTGACAGCCAGAGACTGGGATCTGTAATAGGCATGAGCTTGTGCATGGATGGAAGGGGAGGTGGACAACTGAGTGAGTGCCTACCTGCGTAGCCCAGACCTTCTGGTTTCACAGTTGCCTCTGAAGCTCCGGTTGTGTCAACACTCAGTATATTCCCGTAACGCTCCAACCAGCCTCAGAGCAGTATTTACAACCAGGTGTCAGGTCAGCATGTGATGCATGCCGTTAAAATGTTTTCAGATCCATGACTGAAACCCATGGCATCATTTTGACACTGCTGCAGGCAGTTGTGCTAGCAGATGCGGTCATGGTATCGTATGCTCTGAAAAGGATTTCCCCTTGGTCACGCTAGCATAAAGCCACAGTGTAGCTTGTGAGGTGAAGTAGCTTGTGCACAATTCATCTCTTCAAATTTTAATTTGTGCAAAACTTAGCTGTCTAGTCTAAGCTTGTGACTTGGGCTGCCCGCAGAGCCAATGTAGAAAGGCACCTCTGAAAGGCAGTTTTTCTATTCCAAAATTAAAAAAAAATCTATGAAAGTCAAAAGAAATCCTACACTATTTACTGGCTCCAGCCTGCTTTTGCATAGCTACTATCAACAAGACAAATCAAAGAGAAACATCCTTCAATTACATCCATTACAATTTATCAGACTTGCAGTTTGTTTGATTTGCAATTTATCTGCATTTATCTGTTGTCTAAACACGCCGTTGCAGGAGGGAAAACACAGAAACAGCAATAGAGGAGCAATGCTAACCCCATCCCAGCAGTTAATGGAAAACAGACTTTGGTACAGTGAATTATTTACAAGAATATTAGACAAACATCACAGACCTGACATGTTTGCTGCAGGATGTCTCCCCACCTTCTCGCTGCACATCCTGGAGACAAATGGGCTTTTTATCTGCCGGCAGCGTTTTGGAGCAGCTGGCTCGGTGCACTTCCCACATGCCGCTGGTATTACGGGAGATGGGAATGCCTAACAACTTCTTGTGCATCCTCCCAAACGCAACAGGGTTTCTGCTCTACAGGACAAATGCACACAATTACGATTTAAAAAATTAAATACTTTTAAATTTAATTTAAAACTCCATTGCTAACAGTTTGGAACTAGGAGGAGCCTCATCTGAAAACAACTACCCCCCTTCAGTTGTTGGAAGCAATAAGGTGCTGGCAATGGGAAAATGGGAATCTGTGCTTTTGGATGTAATGAATTTTTTGCTGGCAAAGACCCAGTGACAGTAACATGACACAGAGCTGCAACTGCTGAGAATTTGGATATGCAGAGACTACGCCAGGTCCTTGTTGTGATGCCCTCTTGTACAGCCACAACAGAGGGGAAGGCACAATCCCAGATAAGCAGACAGCGTGGATCAAAGCTGCTGTAGCAGTTCAGCAGTAAGGAAAAAAACCACTGGATGGCAGAGCTCCCCGTCACTGCTAATCCATCCTGATGTGCTTCTCCTCCACGGGAAATTTTGTAAGGGTGAAATGCTGTTTCGCTCTTTCATCAGCTCTTTCATGTTTTAAGCTGGGGAATCCATCCCATGTCACTGCTTTGAATGATTCAGTTCTTCCTATTCTGTTGATACCTCCCATAGAAAACCAGCTGTAAAAAGTCACAGCAGCCTGCGCATGGAGCTCTTCATGTTCACGATTATGAGTGAGTTTAAAGAAGGTTGAAACAGAAGTAAGTGTGTCTGGCAGGAAGGAAAATAGAACAGATATGTCCCGTACAGAAATTACGTTTTATAAAATTGAAAATTCAATATACCATTGACGGTGATTCACAAACCAATAATCTCCAAATGACCTGCGCTACCATTCCCTTATCATTGAGGGAGAATCATAAAGGATGCACTGCTTTACTTTCCTGCTTCTACATCACAGTAATTGAGGCAGGCAGGTAGATCTCCCATGTTTCCTGGAGCCCTATCCAGAAATTATTATTTAATCATATATGCTTGCATAGTCTCACATGTCCTGGGAAGTGTTTCCCTCAACAAACCTGGATTCAGAGTGCTGGGGGAGAACGGCATGTCCGCAGGGTGCTTCGTAACAACAGCTCCGTCACCGGTGTGATGTGGAGCAGGCTGCAGGCTGCGGGCTCCAGCGAGGGCTCGGGAGCTGCTGCAGGCTGGGGTCTCCAGGGTCAGGGAACCGGTTACGGCTTTTGTCAGTGCCCTCTGCAGCATCTCTCAGTTGTCCCATCGCTCGCTTGCCATGGAGGAGGCAGTACGTAAGCCACGCTGCAATGCAATCTCTCCTGCTGTCCCAGGGGTACGGGTGGTGGCTTTGGGCAGCCCCAAAAGTGACCCAAATTGTGATTTATGTCCTGGATTCCCCTTGTTCTTGCTGTTAGTCCAGGCGTTCAACAACCTCCAATTCAGATCCAGCTCATCCTAGTTTTTCTTCATTTTTCAGAAATGCTACAAAAAGCCTGTCAGAGCGTGGTTCTGCCACAAAACTTGGTCTCTTGTGTTGACCTCACCACGGAGCGTGGTGAGCCAACGCCGTGGGCTGCGGGTCACCCTGCCGCACTGCGGGGCCGGGGCCGGTGCTTCTTCCCTCCCCTGGAACCGCTGCTGAATTCGGTCCATTTTGTCTGTGCAACCGCACTGAAGGCAGGGGCATAATCTGAAGGTAATGGGGATATACACGTATATATGGCCAAAGGAATAATTTAACTTGTTGATTGTCTGTCAGGAGGCAAAAAGCCTGAAAGAAAGAGTAGGAAGAGGGGGAAGAGTCCAAGTCGGTTAAGTTTGGTTTCCGTGAGATTTATCAAGACAGAAACTTACTTACGAACTGAAAATGTTTGGTGTAAGAACTGAGATAATAGCTGTGGAGGCAGGCCTTGGCATTTTTCAGAAGCAGATTATGCATTAATTAAAAGGGATTCTTATTAATGACTAAATTAAAAGTGGTTTCTCAGAGTGGGAGTGAGTGTTGGCTCATCCGCAAAAGCTTCATCTGAAGAATAACCCTTGTTAAGCTCCTGAGAGGGCAGGTGATATCGCACAGCCTGGGACACGGCAGCTTGGAAATGTTTTCAATTAAAGGCAAAGCAATGACTAATGTGCTTTTTTTTTTTAACATCATGCTGCAGAGATGAATGAAATTTAGTCTGGTTTTAATTACTGTTTAACTAGTTTATATTTAACTGGGTTTTAACTGTATTTAGATGGTTTTTAACTGTAGGAGCGTGACTTGACTTGTTTCTACTGGATTTACTTTTGCTTGTGTTGTCCTTAGGTGTGTCTTGTCCAGCTTTGCAGCATTTTTGACAGCCAGAGAAGCAGTGAAGTAGTGACCCTTCCTGAGTCTGAAGGTGGAAGCTGGGTAACCCTCCCGGGAAACGTTTAAACAATGCGTGAAGGCAGTTGTGATTTACGTTACTTTTAGCTCTCCTGTATCTTCAGTAACTGGTAGTAAGGACCTCTTCCCTTAAAAATAAAACAAGTCTCTTTTCCATTCTGGTAAGCCAGTAGTTGAGAGTTTTGGCATACATTTAATAGAAGTTCTCTCCATAAAGGAGAGAGACCCAAGGAGATCAGACAGGACCCGTCTGATACAAAGTAGTGTTTAAGGCAGCATAAAGCGTATTAAGAACATGCTTTTAGGTCATTCCTGCATTTCATAAAGAATCACACAAGCCCAATTGTAGTAAAAATTTTTAGTGGATTATTCTTCACGTATTTTATTGCTGCAGATTTGTATTAGAAGCAATCAAGGCTTCTTGAGTGCTTGGATGTGGGATTAAATTGGCTTCGAGGTGACCTCATTGCAGCCTTCCAATACTTGAAGGGGGCCTATATGAAAGATGGGGACAGACTTTTTAGCAGGGTCTGCTGTGACAGGACAAGGGGTAATGGTTTTAAACTAAAAGAGGTTAGATTTAGACTAGACATAAGGAAAAAATTTTTTACAATGAGGGTGGTGAAGCACTGGCACAGGTTGCCCAGAGAGGTGGTGGAAGCCCCATCCCTGGAAACATTCCAGGTCAGGTTGGATGGGGCTGTGAGCAACCTGATGGAGTTGGAGATGTCCCTGCTCACCGCAGGGGGGTTGGACTAGATGACCTCTAAAGGTCCCTTCCAGCCCAAATGATTTTATGATTCTATGATTCTATACAGGAAAAGAGAAGCACCCTAAAAACATGTGGGTGAAAATCCCAGTTGCTATTGATAAAAATGCCATAGTAGGACTGTGCTATTGATCCTTTATGAGGACAGCAACAGTGGTCAGTGAGACCAGAGAGGCAGCAAATACAGGTCGGTGGTGTGAGCGGGAGCCTGTGTATAAGCTGGATCAGCACCTCATTAGGATGAGACGCAGAAGCAGAATTGTTGGTGGCAATAAATCACTACTTCAAGGAAGAGCTGGTTTGGGAACCCACAAAAACAAGTAGTAGGGATTGGTTACAAGGGCTTCATTTGAGGACTGTGAGTTGGAAACTGCTCTGAGGTTGCAATCCCACAACATGATCGCTTTTAGCACTGAAATGGGAAAAAGCAGGCCCTGTGCACCCAGTATGGGAGTATTCGGTTTCAAGGAAGGTAATTAAATACACTGAGGCAAGCATTAGAAACAACAGTCTCCACCAAAAAGGAGCAGCCTCAAACAAAGAAGCCTGCAAGCATCCTGGAGGCTGTTCAAAAATACCGTGTTAGAAGCCCACACTAAAAGAATGCCACAACTCAAAAAGAAAATAAAATGTTGCCCCCTCAAAGGAAAAGTTAAGGTGACTGCCTTAGGGAAAAGGCTACTATGTAGGAAATGGAAAACTTGTCCATGTGAGTTGGTGGTAAATTGACATAAAACACAGGGGGTCACATGTAAACAAAGAAAAGAACTGAAAAAGGTTTTGGAGAGTGCCTTGCAAGGGATGCTCAAACTGTCAGCAAAAGGCCTTCAAATACTTCAAAAGCAGCTAGGGGAAGGTCAGGGCTGCTTGGTGAAAAGGGGGTGAAAGGGGCACTCAGGGAGCACAAGGCCTTAGTAGTCCTTTGTTGGCTTTGTGCCGGTCTTTACTGTGGAGGCCGTGGGGAGGTTCCCACCCAGGACAGTTAATAGGAGCCAGGTTAATTCAGTGTAAATAGTGAGTAAGTACTGGAGCAAACAGAAAGCCTGAGTCCGCTCTGGCTGGGATGGCTGTGGGCACCAGGCTGTGCCATGGCAGAGCCGACAGCCTCGGCAAGGGCTCTGCTGCCAGGAGACACCAGTGCCGGCGTTCCCATGGGTGTCTGGCACCAACCCCGACTCCAGCACTGGCTCCTGAGGGGTCCTTGGGACCGCGGGCTGGTGCCTGTCCTGGGCAATACAGCAGATGTGTGTTGAAGGTGAGATCACTGAGGTGATGGGTAAACCTGGTCAGCTGGGAGAGGGTCAGGCTGACTCCCATAGGGGCAATCCTGCCTTGCTCCCTGATGGTCTTCTGGGACAGCATCAGTGAGTACGTGGATTAAGGCCAGTGGGTGAAGTATAGCTGGGTCTTCAAAAAGGCTTTTATCAAGATTCAAACCAGCATTATTAAAGGACCTAAGGCCATGGCCTTGCCACACAGGAGGCTGTGGAGGCTGACAGCACCGGCACATTCCCAAAGCGACCGGATGGATTCATGGATAGCAGTGCCACACAAAGGGTGGACATGCCTCCTGCCAGCCCTGTTAGACAGCTGGGGATGCTGCGCCTGTGCAAGGAAAACGGACTGCAGAAAGCATCCAAGCTCGTGTGTCCTCCCCAGGCAGCATCTGCTGCTGCTGCTGCTGGAGGCAGACGGGGGGGTGACTGACCACCAGTATGACCCGCACGGTGTTTCTCACATTCATCTGACATCTCCAGTTTAAAGAGGGGCCAGTGTTGCCCTTTCTGGCCTGGATAAAACATGAGATTGTTTTTATCAGGAAGAAAACCTCGTAAGAGCCTAGTATTTTGGGGTGTGGTCCTGAGGGTGCCCAAAGCCAGAGAAGCACGGTCCTGGGAACCGATTGCTGCCTAGGAAATCCCAGCCCACTCTTTCAATGAGTGACAAAGCAGAACAAACTCAGTTACTCAGCACTGCATTGCTGCGGTGGCATTTCCTTTTGTTTTCTGCATCTCTCGGAGAGAACAACATGGACACATGGCTCAAACGGATCCAAATCCATCATTCAGCATCGGTCATCAGAGCAATCTGTTTGCCCACGTGGCTTACGGCTCTGGCCCACGGGGACTTGCTTTTGGCAGTGGTTTCCTACTGCCTCAGTTGCTGCTGAAACAGGTTAGTTGGTCCCTCTGCCTGGTGTCTATGAAAGCCAGACGTCGCAGCCCCAGACTTTATACAGATCCCTGCCTGAGCCATGGAGGGATCAGCCCACACCGCCTGCGGCTTAACAAGGGGATGAGAGAGAAAACTTACCACCTCACATTTGCTGTTTATTGTAAGAAGCACATTTAAACATACTTCCCAGTACTGACATCGGTTGTAGTAAAACAAAAGCACAGGACCCCAACGGAGATTTTGCTTCCCTGTCTGTAATTTGTTGTCTTTTCAGCCTGCTGACTGTGGATTCTGATGCAGCAATGTTGGCCTGGAAAATCCTTAAACACCACCCGCTGCATTTCCCTGTTCTACAGGAGTACGACATACAGCTACTTTTACATGTTGGTCTTGTTTGTTCTTTAAAACACCCAGTGACTGTTGCATTGCTTCATTACCCTGAAAGGTTTTGGAAGTATCCGACACAAACCTGCTGCCAAACGCAATGCTACTTGCCTTACCTTCCAGGGGAAGGGAAGGACATGGGTCATTGCTCTCCATTTCTTTTGCATATTGGAAAGTAATAACTGTGTCCTCTTCCTCTTACCTGGAGAAAAAAGCAAGTCTAACTCCTTGTTTCCTATAGGCTGTACCTTCCATTTGAGTTGCCATCCCCCTGAGCATGTTTTTCTCGGTCCGACACACCCAAACGCTGTAGCTGAGCCTCACTGATGCTGACAGATGAACAGCCGAGAGGAGAATTACCCCAAGTGCTTCATACACAGTGCTATGATAAAGATAAATCTCAAAATGTGATTTTCTCCTTCTTTTTTTCTCTCCCCTGGTACCTACTGGTTCAGTTCCCACTGGACCCCCCCAGCCCTTTCTGCAGGACGGTCGCCCCTGCTTATGCTCCTGCTTGAGCTCCTCCAACGTTTTGTACCTGTGTTTACTTTATTTCAGTATTTCATCGCTAACAGGTGTTCGTAGTTTTTAACCATTAGTGGAAGTGCTTGTGTTCCCTCTAGCATGGCTGTCACCCATGGTTTGATAGCTCTTGTCCACCATTCATTTTCCAACCACAAATTTGAGAGAAACTGGTGTAGGACAGACGTGCATCTCTGAATTACCAGTCTGACCACAAGCTGCTGATAACCACTGCCTATCTTAAGGCCCTTCACATAGGAGGGCACTTCAGACTGCAGCACAACCATGGCCACTTACACGGTGAGATGAGGACTTTGGTTGGTCTGAGGTGCTTTTTCCCTGCCAACCCAGGCTGCCAGAGCCCTCCTGAGTGTTTCTTGCTGCTTCATTATCCCCCAGGTGCTTGCGAAGCAACGATTCAATCCTTTACTCCGGCATCTTCCTCAGCGTTGCAGCCAGGTGTCCTGCTCTGTGATTCCCTGGACCTTTCTTTCCTCTTTGATTAGGCTTTTCTCTTCCTTTACCTGTGCTTCTCCTTTTTCTGATGTGTTACTTGGTATTAGATCATTTGTTTTGCAAGCTGCCTGTTTTTCCAAATAGCCCACGGGTCAAAAGGGTCACCAAGGGTGCGACCGCAGCAGCCCTGTGTGCACCAGCCAGATGAATAACTTCCAGCAACACGGACACGGGTGACCAGGAAAGGATTGGAGGAGAAAAGCAATCTGAACTCACTGTTTGTCAGGAAAGCTTTTACTCAAATCTTAAGGCAGTGTGCCAGTGTTAAACTTTCCTTAATTATTTACTCCTTCCTGCCAATTTGTCAAGCAATTATATTTCAACTCATTTTCTGCAGAGATTTTCCTTGTTCACTACAAAGTGCTGATACCCCAAAATAATATTTGCAATAAAATATTGAATTCCCATAATCAGGATTTTTAAATAGACTTAAAAAATAAATAATCTTTTGTGGCAATGCTGCAGAAGCCAGCCGGCAGGTCTGCAGGCCCTTGGGTGTTGCTACCGTAACGTGAAGCAGCAGCTCCATAGGTAACGCATGCAAAAATTGGACTCCTGAGAAGCTCACGGATCTCTGCAGGGATGGCAACACCGGTCGTGGTGACAGGGAGCTTGCTGGCAGCAATTAAGGGTGACATGAAGGGAACCAGCGAAAGCTCCACTCTTGTTCACCCTCCAAACTCAAAAACCCAACTTTACACACATAGGCAGCAATGAGATTCCCTGCCCCATTTGAAGTTTGATACTTCAAATACTCATACTGATCTACCAAAAATGCATTCGTGGGTTTTACGCAAGAGTTTTGTATAACAGAGAGGTTTATATAACATGATGCACCAAAGACTTCAACCTATGAATTTTATGGAAGTTATTTCAAATAGAGGGGACCAAACCATGTGATATGTTTCATAAGTTTGTGTTACAAAGTAATGATTTTACTGAAATTATCTTAATATAGTGCAGAATTCACTAAAGACTAAATAATATATAGTTTAATACCTGCAGTTGCTAAACACTGAACTGTTTTCTGTAGTCTTAAAAAAAAATCAGTAATGTTAGAGACATCCTAGAGCTCCCTCTGGTCTCCAGAGATGATAAAATGAGTTTGCTTGCAAACACGTTAATCATGCACAGTCCTTGCTGCGACGGTAAGCAGATGAGTGACTGGCAAGATGAGGAGCACAGCATTAAAATTACTCCGCTTGCACAAGCTGTCTCCAAACCAGCTCTCACGCTGCCGGCGTTGACCCTGCCTGGCAGCCCAGGCACATTTGCGGTGCAGCCCCGTGCTGCCGGGCAGAGACCGCCAGGCACATCCCTTCTGCATCGGCAGTGGTGACAGCTGGCAGAAAGGTGCCCTGACGTCTCCAAAACGGTTATTCGAAAGGCTAAACGTGAACATCCTTATTCCTCTGCTCACAGGTTTGGGGGCAGAGGCCAGGCTGGGGCTGCCTCACGCCCTGCCTCCCAGCCCAGCCCAGTCGGCAGCATCCTTTCCCTCTCCCTGTTCTCAAGTTGAGTTTTTGACCCATTCCAAGAGTACCAAATTGGCTTATTTACTCAAATTGCAGGTTGCTGCCCACCAGGCCTCATGAAATTGGAAAATAAAAAAAAAGAAATTGGGATTCAACATTTATCTTTATTTTCTCTCTTAGTATTATTCTTGGAAAACCTAAATTTGGACCCAGACCCATCCACATTGAAGAACACTTTCAGAGCTTATAAACGCAGAGCTAATTCACTCCCAATTAGAAGCTGGGATTCCTGGCAGAGGGATAGATGCTGAAACACTTTTAAACTTGGAGGAAACCCAGCATAAAGGTGCCAAGGCTAAAGCAGAAAAGGTTGTGGGGTTCTTTTACCAACACTACTGTTGTGATACAGCTCCTGGGGTGGGTACGTACGGGGTCTGCTCTTGCTCAGAGGGTTGCTCTCTAATGGGAAGGTGTTTTGCATGCCTGTTGTGGCACTTGCAGTACTTCCCAAACAGAGGATTTCCCCTGTGTGAGGCTACTTTTCACTCTGAAGAGGTCTCCAGCCCCACCACGGCCGTGGGCTCCAGGACTGGGGAGACCGAAGCATGTTTAGCATTGTCCCTCACAAGGCTGGCCACAGGAATACACAGCCAGTGCAGAGACCAAAGGCTTGGCAAGAATTCTCTTCGTTGCTCTGTAGCCAGGACAATCGAGGGGAAGGAAGACTTTAACTTGGGGACTTCATGCCCCCCGTTGCCCAGGGAGAGGGAAGGAGGCAGATGGAGGAGAAGACGGGAAGATCACAGCGATGCCCAGGGAGAGCTGCTCGCCTGCCCGTGCGGGGGGGATGCATGAACAACCCCGGGTTCAGCTTTGAATGGGAAGAGGCACCTTCCTCACCCGACACTTAAACATTGCTGGTGTGTCCCTGTCTGCCTTTCGAAGGGCCCGAGCCTGTGGTATCTCGTCGCCGTGGGTCCCCTGGAAGGCCGTGCTGAGCTCACCCATCGGCGACTGGGGAGCTGGGGTTTGCTGGAGTGACCGAGGTGCCGTCAGCACCAGCACTGGTCCTGCCAGGAGACCTGAGGAACTGCTCTGGGTACTGTGATCACTACTGGGCTAGTTGATATAGAGGAAAGGCTGGGTGACAGGGCGGGTTTATGAGCTAGAACCCATGTCTCTTAAAGTACTGGGCTCGCCTAATCACGCTGTTGACATAGTAGTCGTCTCTGTTGCATGGGTCTTCCTCGTAGACCTGGAGGTTGCCCATTTTTGCACTGTAGGTACAGATTCCCGCTGGAAAGAGTTAAGAAGGAGTTGTTATGGGCTTATAAGTGAGAAATAAAGATTTGAAAGTAAAAATTCCTAGCCAAAAGGGCCATGCATCTCACCAAACCTACACAACTGCTTGGGAAATTGCTAATTGTATATTATTGTTGAAAAGTGACCGTGATTCTGTGATTTTGCAAAATTCTTATTTCTATAGTGAAGGAAACCATGACTTTCCAAATGCAAGTGGGAATGGGATGCTGGTCCCAGAAAAGGGTGTCATCTAAAAAGGCAGTGGCAGAGCAAGGATGGGGGAGTAAGAAGTAGCAGAGGGTGAACAAACCAGCATGCAGATAACATGGACTGCAAGCAAACCTGGATCCCAAGCTTCCTTGACACAACTTAACAGCCTGCCACGACAAGCCTGTTATGTTGCGGTGCCTCAATTTCTGCTTTCCCCAGTGGCTTTTGTTTGTTTGGTTTCTACCTTCTTTCTCCACCTGACAGCCATTTCACTTGTAGGATGACCAGATAAGAGGATAGCTTGAGACCTGTCCACCTTCATTGAGCACAATGCCTTTTCCAAGGGCTTTAAGGAGGTCCTGCACCCAGCCATTCACCAGTGGTGGCCCAACCACTCAAGGCAGTGGCCCTCGGTGGGTGTTTGTCACTGAAGTGAAGGGGCAACCTGTCAAGACTGTGCCCGACACCTTCGCCCGGCCCTGCATGGGTGCCTCCGTGTTGCTGCAGCATCTCCCAGGCTGGGCTGGTTTCCCGATGCTTCCTACAGCAGCAAAGCTGCCAAGGAGCTTGGTGTCCCACCACAGGCTCCCTTCTGCAGGCAGAAACACGGGGGCCCTGTGGACAGTGCTTTGACCTGGGAGGCTGCATCTGTATTCAGACCTCTGGCCAGTCTGCTGTTTTGGGATTGCCTCTTTGGAACTAGAAAACTCTGGGAGGTTGGGGTTTTCTTTTGGTAAAAGATACTGTAAAATCTGCCAGACTGATGCTCTTTTTCCCTTAAAAGTGACACCCAACAAATGCACAGCACTCCAATCACTCAGCGTGTCCCTTCCCGGTATATAGCCCATCCCATACCTCTCAGCTGCTGGTCCCAGGTCCAGGTAGGATGTCTTGCCCGTACTTCATTAATTGCAAGAACCAGGATAGTTGAGCACTGGTTTATGTGTTCTTCACTATCCCACACTCCAAAAGGGACGTGTTGCTGCCTGCCAAGCTAGAAAAGTCAAGCAAGAAAACGGGTTTCCCCCCTGAACACAACCATCACTGTAGCTTCCTCCTCTGCTTTGTACTCACAGGCTGTGACTCACTGAAGTGACCTTATTCGGGACAACACCTGAACACAACCTTTGATGTTGAGGGAACACACTTAAGTGCTGTCTCGAACACAGAACAGTCATTTGCTAAGGTAAGGCCCTGGGATATACACTACATCCCTGTTCTGTTACTCACACTTATCATCCCGATGTACCTGCATCAAGCCGTACTTCTGCCGTTCCTGGTCCCAGCCGTTGTCCAGGAGCAGGCCGACCCGGCTCTCCTGCGAGATGATGGCAGCGATGAGCGCCGGGTCCAAGCACAGGTTTCTGGCTACTCTCTTAATCGGGATCTCGTATTTCCTCAGGCGGACGACATCTGCCTCAGCAATCCTCCGTACCGTGGCAAGTCCTGCCGCGCAGGAAAAGGCAGACTTACACACGCTCCCATCCAAAACCCTCACGTTCCCCTTGAGCGGATATATCAAAGGAGTAACTCAAGTTTTGAAGAAAACGCAGCTACACTGAGTTGGGCAGCGGCACTTGAGGAATAAGCACAGCCCCGTCGGCCCTGGCTGTGGCCGGGGAGCTACCGTGCCAGTACCCCGGGATGATGAGGGGAAGAGGGCAGCTTCTCAGGAGGTGGGACCATGCTTTCGTGGTCCTCTTCTGCTGCCGCACTGCTGGAAATGTGAAATTTCAGAGAAATGTGAAATTTCAGAATTGTGAAATTTCTGAAAAGTGAAATTTCAAATTGCATTTGAAAAAATGGAGAGATGCATTACTACTGAGGGGCCAAACTGCAGTAGCAGCTCTGTTGTTAGTCTGTGTATAGAAAGATGGTTTTTTTTTTTTAAAGTAACATTGGAAGAGTTTGGAAACAAGCAAGCGGGTTCAGATCCATGCTTGGACCCCCGCAGTCAGGTGTCTGCCCTGGAAGCACCTACGTCCGAGGTACGTGGCAAGGTCCCTGGAAGTCTCGGCAGTATGAACCTGATGTGCAGTGACTCGGGGCAATAACACAAGGCAAGAAAGAGGGAAATGGGAAGGAGTTACCAAAAACAGGTGACCCAGAGGTAGGATGGCTGCATACCTGGGACCTTCCCCCGGCAAACTGTGTCTCTGCCAGCTCAGCCAACACGCCAGCACCCAGCACCTGGCTCTGCCCATCTCCCCCTTCGAGCAGACAGGCTCCGGGGTTTTGTGAGGATGCTGATGCTAAAGTCCTGGCTGATGAAGAAGCCGTTTTAACTGAAAAGAGATTGCGCCATTTCTCTTTGCTTAGAGGCTGAGGATCCTGACTGTGGGACCTGAAGTTTGATCTCCCGCTTCCCACCAGGTCTGGAGGCTTCACAGCACCTGCCGTTTTGGGAGGGGAGGTGTTGCTTTCTCCCTTTTGGCTAATTGAATAGCTGCACCACATTTAATTCGGCAATAAACAGGAGACGAAGCATCTTTCTGTCAGGTATAAACAGGTTGACAAATCAAGCAATGAATGATACCTACCACAGTCTGGGGCTCTTACAGCTCTACAGGAGATTGCGGGGGCTTGAAGAGCACTTATGTCGCCATAGCAACTGTAACTCATGGATGGAGCTGAAAAATTAAACGGAGGTTGTTTGAATACCTAAGATCTTAGAGCAATATTGTACAGCATGCTGCAAGTGCATACAAGTCAAGCATGAGGGATTCATCCAGACCCGTAATCCACATCACCTTGTGTTGGCCATGCTTGTAAGGTTGCCACTGCTCTCCATCAGCAACATTGTCAAAGAAAACTACAGAACAGAAATTTGTTCTTTTCTGATTGAATAGGTTGAAGCGAATGAATCTAATGACAATTTAGACGAATAGGTGTCTGCCCCGTTAGGTCTAAAGGCTGGTGTGGGAGAGGAGAACCACAGCCTCTGCATTTATTCCAGACAGCTCTTCCCATTCAATGCCCCACAATGTCCGGGACCTCTCGGATGATGGCTGGTGGTACCTGAACACCCCGGCTGGGAGTGTCTCCTGTGTCCCTCCGTAACTTGGTGAGGAATTAATTCAGGAGAATGCTTACCTCAGCCTGGGCAAATTACCCTGCATCCTCATTAACTGGGGACTGAATAGCCTCCATCAAACAGCTTGCCACATTTGTGAGACCATTTCTGGGTAGGCAGAGAGATCGGAAAAGGTTAGGTGGGAAAACCAAGAGGAGGTATGTCTGTGACTCCCTTTTGGCATCAGTCCCGTACTCCAGACCTGCTGGTTTAAAGGACACATGTGGGCAGCGAGCAGCCTCACACGGCAGCCGAGGACCACCAGCCACACCAGGAGCCACGCAGAAAGGGGCCCTCAGCCCTGACTGCACCCCTCCTCTCTGCAGTCCTTCTGCAAACAGTTCCCGGGGTGCTCTCGGCAGTGACCCCAACCCAAACCCCGGCTCACCGACAAGGGCCGTAAGGCCCAGCAAGAGCAGTGTGGTGGGGATCATGACGATGGCTCTCCTCAGCTGTCCCAGGAGACCTGGAAACACAACAGTTTGCAAAACAGGCAGAAGTCAGTGCTGGTTTTCAACGGCCCTGTAGCAAAGTTTGGGTGCCAAAAGCTCCCACCCCGAGGCACCAGAGAGGGACAGCAGTAGCTGAAGGTGGGTTGGGGAGCCGAGGCACCGTCTCCGCAGCACGCTTCCCCCTCACCCCCAGCACGGGATGCAGCCTCCAGCTTCAAAGAGTGGTGGTGGGAGGAGAAGCAAGTGATGGGACCCCCATCTGCTCCTTATTTCCTCCTTGCCTGGGGGATACAGGCTTCTCCTGCGGCTGAATGTCTCCTCCATCTCGCGTGCCTCTACACCATCACATCAAGAGGGAAGGGCTGAGCCTGGGAAGCACGGGACCGGGGAGGTCCCCGTCGGCAGCTTGGGCCAGCAGCAAGAATTTTAGCCCCTGTCACTTCACATCACTTGCTCACACTCATAGCATGTCCTTATGATGAGAAGGAACAATACCTTTGCTTTAAATATATAGGTGTTTGAAGTCTAATGTGCTACAGAGTGCACGCATCCTTTGTTTCTCTGTTCAAAAGGCAATGGGATTTTTGCTTGGCCTTTGGAAAAACATGTTTTCAAAAATCAAGCAATATGACCCTTAATTCTCTGCTAAAAGCATGCAAGGCAACTCCAAGATTTATCTGGTGAAATAATATTTCTGTGTGCGATAATGGCAGATAATCACTTTAGTAATAAATGCATCTGTTGTGCTTATTAATAAAATTCCAAAATGTCATCAGATAATAGCTATCAACTGCAAAAAACATTGACTGTACTTGCCTTGCTGGTGAATGCATTTAAACTGAGCAGTTTTTACAGCTTACAAATGGTTTTCTCCCCCAAGAAGGTTTCAAATACAAAACACGCCCTAAGTCTTGTACGCAATCATCACGCGATGCTATTAACACTTGAAAATGCCTTCTTGGTTTTAATAA